AGCCGCAGCGCCCCCCACCTGCTCCTCAGCCCGCCCAGCCGCCCGCCGGCGCCGAGCGCGTGGTGGGGCCCCCGTCCGGGGCAGCCACGTGTGTGAGCGCCGCCCCCCCTCCCGGCGCGGAGCCGGCCGCGGCATCACCCCCGGTAGGGTCGGGTCGGGTCCGGGAGGGGGTGGACACCACGTGTCCCACGCGATGGTGACTCAGCAAATTTCCAGCCCCTGCTACAAAGTGCCCGGCCCCTCCTTGCCCGGCTCCGCGCGGGCCGGGCCGGGCCGGACCCTGCCCCACCCCGCCGAGCCGGACCCGACTGCCGCACCCCGGGGGCTGCGTCTTACCTGGGCCTGTCAGGAGCGCGCGGGGGGGAGGTGGCGGCGGAGGCGGGGACGCGCGCGGCGCGGGGGAATGGTGGCGGGGACGCGCTTCTCAGCCTCCCTCCCTGTGTGTGCGAGTCCCGGGAACAACAACAAGCGCGGCGCCCGGAGCCGACCAACCAGGGGCCGGGCCGCTTCCGGGATCGCGCATCATTCCCCGCGTCACATGGCCACGCCCCCTCGTCATAACGCGTCATCTGGTCACGCCCATCGTGTTCATTCATGGAGCGCAGACACGGTAGGGGGAGGAGGCGGCGGGGGCGCACAGGGAAGGGGCCGGAGGATGCGGGAGTGGCGGGGCCGGGCCGGAGGAGGAGGAGGAGGAAGTGCAGTTGGTACAGGAGGGGCAGTGGAGACAGGAGAGTGGGGTGGGGCATCCATCGTTCCTGTAGTAGTGCGGGGCATAATGAGTGTGCTGTTTGACTACCCAACTTCTATCTTGTATTGCTCACCCCCATGAGCAACATCCCTGACTCTCTACACACCCCTCACTGCTGAGGTGCAGCCACCTCTGGGGTGGGGGGTAGCAACTTTACAGGGTGGTCAGAGACAAGCAATTGCTTCAAACTCTGTCTTGTACAAAAAATGCCCTGGGCACCCTAACGTTCTGGCAGAACCCGGGTATACAAGGTCTTGCCTGAAAAGCCCCCCCACAGTAAACTGCAGGGTGCCTGCTCTACCTAACTTCTTGCAGACTCCAGGGAGCTTGGGACATTTCAGATGCAACGTTTAGAGTAACAGAGGGTCCTGTGGCACCTTTGAGACTAACAGAAGTATTGGGAGCATAAGCTTTCGTGGGTAAGAACCTCACTTCTTCAGATGCAAGTCTGAAGAAGTGAGGTTCTTACCCACGAAACGCTTATGCTCCCAATACTTCTGTTAGTCTCAAAGGTGCCACAGGACCCTCTATTGCCTTTTACAGATTCAGACTAACACGGCTACCCCTCTGATACCTGAACGTTTAGAGTGCTGATCATCATCCCCTTTGGCAGCCTAGAGGGGCTGTGTTCAAGATAGCTTTACGGGCACGACAAGGTAGGTAAGTGGTGCCAAAGGGAGGCTACAATTTCAAGAATCTAGGATACACCTGCATAGCAGTATTGGGCTTCTGTAAAATATTTAGGAGCACTGTTCATTTCTAAAGTAGTGGCTTATTGTCATATGTTGTGAAGCTGTTTTCACCATCTCTTTTTCCACAATACCACTAAGTGAGTTTACCTTCAGTATGGAGAAGGGGGTTCCCTTTAAATTATTCCCATCTGGGTTTTCCAATGCCTCTTGTCATCTATCTTTTAGACTGTAAGGTCCAGAGGGAACAGACTGTCTTTATTTTTGTGTTTTGTACAGCACCAAGCACCTAGTCAAATAATAATAATAATATCTTTCACCTCTTTTAGAATTAAGCAATTTTTCTTTCTTGCTTTTTAATAGAAGTTTCTCATATTATTTTTGATATCTTGTGATGTACATTATATTTATATTTTTGGCAGTGGAATAGAAAATGGCTTTCAGTTTCAATTTTTTCTCAGTCACGTGGATTTCAAAGTACTTCTTCCTTGAGTTTCAGTGTGACTTTAATGTAATGCTAACGTCCACAAGAGGAGAATGCAAGTGTCCAATTACCATATAACACTATATTTAGGCTTGGAAGGATTATATTTTTTTATCAGTTAGTGTTGGTAAACATCGATATCATGGTACAAACACCGACAAAAAAAATTTCCACAAGTAATTGAAATGTACAGATCGGCAAAGGAAGAAAAATGCTGCTTGAGAATTTAGAGTTTGATTTAAGGATATTTACTTCATATAGTTTGACATTTGATGTTGACAATTTATGTTTTAATAGTTATAAAGCTTTAACTTTTTGAATGTTAGTGCTTACTGTCATTAGATAATTGTCTTCGCCTGAATTTCCCACAACTGGGAAAATTTAAATTGATAAAATTTGAAACAAAAAGCATGAAACCCACAATTTTGTGCTACTGTGAAAATTAAGCTAATAAAAAGATTTAAAAATGCTTAAAAATAAATATTGATATTATCCATTGAAATTATATTAAAAACATTGAATTCTGTCAAGCCTAACTACATATATATCAGACCGGAGTCTAGTAAGAGAAAATGAGATCTTAGTTTACATAGTTCTTAGAAAACTTTAAGTTCCCTCCTCTTATGAGCAACTACTGCAGCAGAGAGAGACAAGATACAATCTGGGACAGCAATAATAGAAAGGGGTGAAATTTTACAATCGATTGTTTTCTTTATTTGCTGGAGTCAAGAGACTCTGAAATGCCAATGGTGGCCAGCAGGGTTAATCCAGTTATCCTGTAGCAATGTCATCAATATTGCCAATTTCTAGTGTTCAAAAAATTATAAATCAAGTCTCAAAAATCATGAGATTTTTAATATATAATAAATGTTGGGTTCTTTTGATTTGTCTTCAGCTTTTTGAACCGTTAAGATTCATGTTAAGTTTTTCTTTGTAACCATGAGGGCTAGAAACAGCTTTCATTTTAAAGAAGCGAGAGTCTCATGTAGTCAATGACTTTAAAGAACGAGGAATACTTGTGGCACCTTAGAGACTATTAAGCTTGAATAAAGACTGGGAGTGGATGTGTCATTACACAAACTAAAAACGATTTCCCCATGCTAATTTCCCCCTACTGTTACTCACACCTTCTTGTCAACTGTTTGAAATGGGCCATCCTGATTATCACTACAAAAGTTTTTTTTTCTCCTGCTGATAATAGCCCACCTTAATCGATTGGCTTCGTTAGAGTTGATAGGGCAACCCCCATTTTTTCATGTTGTGTTTGTGTGTGTGTGTGTGTGTGTGTATATATATAAAAAAAACCTTCCTACTGTATTTTCCACTGCATGCATCTGATGAAGTGGGTTTTAGCCCATGAAAGCTTATGCTCAAATAAATTTCAGATGATGTCTGTCTGTATCTGTACGGAAAGGAAGATGATGTCTGTCTGTATCTGTACGAAAAGGAAGATGATGTCTGTCTTTGTTAGTCTCTAAGGTGCCACAAGTACTCCTGTTCTTTTAACTAGAACAGTGGTTCTCAATCAGGGGGCCGTGAACAGGTTTCAGGGGGTGCAACCAAGCAGGGCCAGAATTAGACTCATTGTGGCCCAGGGCAGAAAGCAGAAGCCCCACCACCTGGGGCTGAAGCCCAGGGCCCTCAGCCCCGTCACTCAGGGCTGAAGCCGAAGCTTGAGCAATGTAGTTTTGTGTGGGGCCCTGTGGCAAGGGGCCTCAGGCAACTGCCTTGCTTGCTATCCCTTAACACTGGCGCTGGCTTTTGAATGCAGAAAAGCAGTTGTGGCACAGGTGGACCATGGAGTTTTTATTGCATGTTGTGTGGGGCCTTAGAACAAAAAAGGCTGAGAATCCCTGAACTAGAACATAGGAAAGGCTGGGTGTTTTAAAACCAGACTTTCAGTCTGTCTCTGCACTTGGTCTTGTAACAATGTTTGAAACTGTCTCTGTCTAAGCTAGTGATATTAATCCTTTTCAACCTGTGGGCCAAACATATTATTTCAAAAAAAGATCTAGGGGCTGCAATCAATATTTTAAGCCAGACTCTTTGCTTTGTGCCACTCCCTTTGCGCTACCCAGGCGGTGCAAAGGAGCACCTTTAATTTCCCGTTGGGGATTCCTCTGGTGCAGAGCCAGTGTACCCAGCTCCTACATCTCCCCTCCTCACAGCCCTATTTTAGGGGACATAT